TTTCCTGCTTTTTCTATTTTCTAACCCCCAAAGTTAAGACATTAGCTGGTACAGAAAATAGGGAAAATACCTATCAAAAAAAGTTTAAAAAAACCATTTTGGACAAGTTTTGTTTTTGCTCTTTGGGTTCAGCTTGGACTGATGGATAATTTCTTAGGTGTAGGATGGAACTTCTAGTCAATGCAGAAGTGGAATTTAAATCTTTATCTTTTTCTATTTTCTAACCCCCAAAGTTAAGACATTAGCTGGTACAGAAAATAGGGAAAATACCTATCAAAAAAAGTTTAAAAAAACCATTTTGGACAAGTTTTGTTTTTGCTCTTTGGGTTCAGCTTGGACTGATGGATAATTTCTTAGGTGTAGGATGGAACTTCTAGTCAATGCAGAAGTGGAATTTAAATCTTTATCTCCCACATGGAGATTACATGTTCTAGCCACCTGCAAGGGCTAAATATGTGGAGAATCATTCGTTAGAATCATAGAATCCCAGAACGGTTTGGGTTGGAAAGGGCCTAAAAGATCATCTAGCTCCATCCCTGTGCCATGGGGAGGGACACATTCCACCAGCCCAGGTTGCTCCAAGCCCCATCCAACCTGGCCCTGAACACTTCCAGGGATGAGGCAGCAACAGCTTCTCTGGGCAACCTGTGCCAGTGCCTCAGAACCCTCACAGGGAATAATTTCTTTCTAATATCCAATCTAAACCCATGGTCTGTCGGTGTGAAGTCAATCCCCTTTGTCCTGCCACTCCATGCTCTTGTAAAAAAGTTCCTCTTCACCTCTCTTGTAGCCCCTTTAGGTACTGAAAACTGTAAGGAATCAGAAAAGAAACTGGAAGAAGAAAACACTTGGAGCTCCTGGAAGATGACCAGCAACCTCTAGCAGAAGTTGATTACAACTCTCAGTCATCTGCACACCTCAAACACACAGCCAGACAGGCAAATTCTCAGAAAAATTTAAGAGCTTGGACATAAGAGAATAAAGCACAAAGGATTTTCAAGAACAACAGGCTCCCCTGTAGACTTCTAAGAGAAAGTTCTCAGCATTGCAAGAGCTGCCAGCAGCTTTCAACACTTGTTTATTGCAACTGAAATAGAACCCACACTCCTCACCTCCCAGGAAAGTCCAGGCTGCATTAGTCATAACTTACTAGCCACGAAAAAAGGACCCATTTTACCCCAGCTATGACAGTGATGTTCAGACAAATGATGTTCAAGATGCTTTCAGCACAGGCATAGAAATGATTATACCAAGTAGTGATAAACAATTTTGTCCTCCAAAAGAGTTTTCCACCATTTCTCTCTCAATCATAGAATCACAGAATGGTTTGGGTTGAAGAGACCTTAAAGAGTATTTTGTCCCAACCCTCTGCCATGGGCAGGGACATTATCCACTAAATCATATTGCTCCAAGCCCCATCCTGCCTGGCTTTGAGTAATAGTGTTATTTGCATTTTGTAGACAAAGCAAAACAATCATTAGAACATTCCCATTCAAAAAGGAAATAGATAAACAACTTAACCATTTATTTGACTGCATTGTATTTAGACAGCTTGTACATTTCATAACCTCACTGGTTTTGTTCTCATCAAAAAGGATAAAGGGACAGAAGAATATAACCCACTCAGAACAGCAGTCCAGTATGTGGAGATACACTTGCTCTTTCCATAGATGCCCATCTGATACCTCAACTCCAACATAGGTTGTAATGTCGATACAAGACCTGAAACTTTTTCCACATAGCACTGAGTTGTAGCAATGTCTTGCAGTGCCCTGGAAAAGTTTGTGACGTAATATGCGACACCGATTTGATGATGCCTTGAAGGTGATGAACCTGATCATTGCTTCAAAAACAACATAATGCAAACACCCAGACTGACGTGTCAGCCAGTAGCAACATTTGGGTAAATTTAAATATAAGAGCAATCAACTCCTTAGTTAGATTTGTCAATGCAAAAGGTGAGGGGGAGAGGACTGTGGTTTAGCAACAGACAGGAGAAATAACCAACTTTTGCTTTTGAAAACCTATTTTCATCTCTTTGTAAAATCATGACATCCCACTTGATACTCAAATCCCAAGCAACACAGAGAATAAATCTGTTTAATGTGACCCAACACATACAGCTTCAGTCTCCTGCAGAGAACTGTGTGTGCCACAGCAGCAATGTCAGAACCTTCCAGGCCATGAGCAATTTAAAAAAAAAAAAAAAAAAAGACCTGCACCTAATTTGCTCAGCATTTTCAAACTGTGCACGACAACTACTTCTTACAATAAACAACCAGAATTGTATTTGAAGTTTGCTCAGGAGTGATGATTTTGGCAGTGAGAAGTGATTTCAGCTCACTCCTAAGTCGGGTTTTGAATCTGAAGACACCCACGGCTTAAATATTAACCAATAGAAAACTTGCCTGTCTGGCTTTTCAGATTTAAACAGCAGGAGACACACAAGACAGCCTAGTTTGCAATTTGTGATACAAGTCCAGCAGCTGTTTGCAAGGTATGAAACCTCCCTGATCTGTCTCCTTAGTTCAAACCAGCCAGAGCAGTCACTACATCCCAGTCCCAGCTGAGGAAAACCTGATTCGATTTGTTACCAACATTTCAGTCTTAACAATGATCAAAACTCCTGAAAAGCCACCCAGAAAAACTGGCAATCCTGAGGGACTGGGATACCAAAAGGTTTTATCATGTCACATAGTGGCAAACACACAGGCTTTATGCTGAGCTCCCACACGTCCCATGGGGAACAGACTCCAGCTTACACCACTTTGTCTTGGGCATGATTTTAAACATGAGTTTTCTTTACCGAGGGGAACAAACCCCCTCGAAAGCACAGATGGTGATTACAAGCAGAAAACTCAGAAGGGCCAATTTCCATTAAAAATCTTTATTTTCAAATACAACTCATGATTTGTACATGGTAAGAACTGTCCATCACCATGTGCGATTGGTCTGTGCAAAAGGCGGCTCTGCTCTAAATCCAGTTTTCCTGCACAGGGCTCTTTTCCAAATGGTACTGGAGGTAGGGGGTTTGGTGGGTTTGTTTTGAAGTGTACAGTAATTAGGAAAAAAAAAAACCACCCCAAAAAAACAACCCAACCAAAACAAGAACCCCATGACTCAAACCAAACCCCAAGAAGAAACAAAAAAGTGTAGTAAGGCAAATCTGAAGAGTTCACTTGACTCCAGAAGAGCAGATTCACTGAGTTCATCCCTTCACAGATTACAGAGGTGCTTCCACAATCAGCTAATACCTTGTTTTTTCTTTTAAAGGGGATTAAAAAAACCACCCCAACCCAACTGATTCATAAAACTGGCCTGTGGAATCACACTGAACAAGAAAGCCTTGATGCTCTGATTACTGAAAAAATTGATGGGAATTGGGAAAACCTACGTAAGCCCAATTAAAGAAAGGAAAAAATAATGGAGAAAAACAGAGCAAGAGCGAGAAAGAGAGAAAGAGAGAATTCCTTCCCCTCTGCTTTGATTTTAGAGGGAAAAAATTCCCCCAAGAATTTAGCTCATGTAAGTTTAGAGGAAATGAGAGCAGCTAAAAATGCACATGATACACCTTGAAATTTATTTCCAAGACCAAGAACCAAAGATTGAAGCATTTTAGAACACTGAAGCAAAGCAATCTGAACCTGAAAAAAAAAATAATGGTTCCAACTATCTTAAAATAGCTGTTTTTTTCAGAGCTTCTAGCAATAATTTTGATTAAATAAGAATCATACCAATTTACATTAATTTTCTATATCTTCTTTTAAAAGTCCCTCACTCTTTTCATGAAAAAAGTGCATCCAAACCCAGCAGAGATTCACTGGTGCCATCAGGTTCTCCTTTAGCAGCTACTCAAGGTATTCAAAATAGCTCACACTCCTTGGCTATGAGAAGGGCCCTGCAAACCCTCGTTTGGGAGAAGTAGCCAAATTATAAAAATCTGAAATAATAATTTATTGTCAAATCCAGAATTCAAATAAAAGCAGAATTTTTTTCCTTGCAAAGACAATTGAAGAAAGTAAAAGAATAAAAGCATGCACTCCAAACTCAGAGGTGAAGACAAATATACTTATCTATACAGGCACTGGCAGACGCAATTGAATGGTTACTCGCTGTAACACACACCCACCCTACGATACATTTTGTCAGTCACTAATCACTGAGGTACCAATATTTAAGAATGGAAAAATTCAATATTGAAAAATAAAACCTAAAATTGAAGCCTTTTTGTTTGTTTGTTTAATTTCCCAGAAAACTATGGCAATTTTTGTATGAAATGTTAGTTACACTTTGAGAATTTTTACAATCTACATTGGCTTTTTTTTTTTTTTCCTCTCAATTTATTTTCTGGAACCCAAAAGTAGAGTCCCCATACAGGTTTCTTTTGAGAAAACGTTCATTGTGTGTATGTCATACAGTCAGTAGACTTGCAAATGAATGAACATATCTTGGCTATCAACTGGCACATCTCGCTGGGACCAAAAGAACTCTGGAGGCTGAGACAATCGGCTTTAATTCGGGACAAACGCGCCATGCCAAAGTGCAACGGATGTGTGCGACACTCAATGAGACACTGACAGGTTTAAGAGCTGCATGGGAATTACTAAGTCCACCTGCAAAGCAATTTTTGGACAAATTGCATTGCATGCAAAGGACAACTCTGCGCTGTTGGGACGTCGGTTGCTCGATGGGATGAGTTCTCCTAACGCAGCCAGAGCTTCAGCCGCAGTGCATCGACTCCGTTTAAATAGTATCTGAACAGCCTCTTGTCTCGCACAAACCCAAGGTTTTCATAAAGTTTCAAAGCAGACTTATTCGTGATTTCTGTTTCCAATACAACCTTGAAAGGGGAAAAAAAAATGAAAGAGAAACCATCTCATATTAGTAAGCAAATCCATGACAGCCGAACCAATTTCAAAAGGTGTTATTTCAAGGTGCATTTATTAGCAAGGAGTGGAATTAATTTCTTCTTATATCTTCACTTAATTAAGCAGTATTTCCACATTAAGCATCCATTCCCACATTAAAAAAATAGCTGTTAATCAACAACTGTAATTGCAAACAACATGTCAATATTTTAGCTCTTGGCTGTATAGAGTATTTCAACTCACCACCTAATAACTAGGGGAAAAACCAAATCAACAAATCCCAAACAACAACTGTCTCCCAACATCCCTCCCAAAACCCCCACCCAAAACCCAAGCTACCAAACAGGTTAGGGTCCAAATCATACTTTGAATGAGCAACTTCACTTCTGCATGTCACAAGAACTTGGCACATGAGGATTTGCTTAATTATTTAATATATTTGACCTCTAATTTGTCAGATTCAGACCTAAATAAAAGCTTCAGGTTGATACCAGCTCTGACCCAATGTTTGCAACAAATATTTGCACACAATAAAATTATCATGGTTGGGTTGGAAGGGACCTTAAAGATCATTCAGTTTCAACCCCCCTGCCATGGGTAAGGATATCTTCCATTAGACTAGGCTGCTCAGGACATCCAACCTGGGTACCAACAAGTATCCCAAACTCAGACAGGCTGAGAGAGTTGGGGCTGCTCAGCCTGGAGAAAAGAAGGTTGTGTGGAGACCTCATAGCAATCTTCAGGGACCTGAAGTGGCTCCAGGGAAGCTGGAGAGGGACTCTTCGTTGGGAACTGCAGTGATAGCACAAGGAGTAATGGGCAAAAATAGAAAGAGGGGAAATAGAGATTAGATATTAGGAAGAAGTTTTTTAATGTGAAGGTAATAAGACACTGGCACAGGTTGCTCAGGGAGGCTGTGGATATCCCAACCCTGGCAGTGTTCATTCCAGGTTGGATGAAGCCTTGAGCAACCTGCTCTGGTGGAAGATGTCCCTGCCTGTCTAAGGTCCATTCCAACCCCTTAACATACTATGGAACTACGAAATCAGAGTGCACACCAGGAAAAAAGAACAGGTTTTCCATCTTTTCCCCCATGTTGGTAAGATCCCAGCTGCAGGAAGACCTGTCAGAAACAGCTCAGACCAAACCCAAGTCCCAGAGTAATCCAAATAAAGCAAAGACTCAAAATTGTGCCAGAAGTCTCAAGTACAGGCAAAAAACTACACTGGCATTACCAAGAAGTTAATTATCAAACTTAAGTATGTCCCTGTGAATTGTTTCTGCCTCTTTTTCTCCACATACTCTGCACAGAGCTCGCCCTAACTGGTGATCCCTGCACCCACTCCAAGTAACACAAGCTAGTTCTGCCTCTCTACTACTGTCCAACACAATTTCTAAAGGATTCTGCTGTTAAGGACAGCTCATGCTTGCACAAGAACAGAGGCTGAACTAATAAGCTGACTCGACTCCATACACCCCCATAATGATGTATAGTCACATATTAAACAGGAGCTGACAGACACTGGAGAAAGACCACAGAATGGAAATACAGCCCAAGGAATTTCTGCAGCAAACCAGTGACCACTGGTGTGAAGTGATCTGTGATCACTAATGGCTATTTCTAAACCACCATTCGATACCTACTCCTGTGTAGTTAGAACTATACACATAAAACTCCCCGAGGCCCCACCTCAAAATCCAGGACTCCCTTCTATTCCAGTAACAAGCAGGAGAATTGGCTAACATCCCCCCCATCTCCCCTAAAACCAGGACCAAAATACTGGCCTGGACTTGGAGACCAGTTTAAGCTGTTCTACTTTAAGGCCTCTGTGGCCCCACTGCCTTCAGGCACACATTTCCATTCCCCCTCACTTCTCCCACCAGCTCACTAGGCTGGTTGTTGAGCTACTTCCTAAGCCACCTGGCACAAAACCTTCCCTTTTTCTCTCCATGGGGTTTGTTTTCTGAGGAGTGGCTAAACCAGTGTGAAGGGGAGGCAGCCAGTGGTTAGACTGGTCACCTTCAATAAGACTTAAAAATCCATTTGATATATAATATTTGACTCAAGTTTCAAGCCACTCTAACCACATTCCAATGGGTAATTCCACCTCAGTGTAAGGATGCTGAAAGAACAGTAAACCTGGGGCTAACAACCCAATGAACAATGTAAGACTTGGAAGTAGTTCGTTTTACAAAAGGGAACTAAGAGTCACACATTAAAATATTAATCATCAGAGTTCTTGAATTACAGCAGAGCAGAGTTGTACCTGCACTTAAGACAACCTAATTCAATTCTTAGTCTTATGGCAACAATTAGATTGAATTTCCTAGCTGGCACCTCACAGAACACTACTATCAAGTCTTGTGACGTGGAGTACTCAAAATCCTTAATCCATTAACATGGATAACTATTCACTTACAACAAATTATGGAAGCACAATCATTTTCCTGGAGAGTACTATTTTCTACACACTGTACAACTCTTTAAATCAAATTACAACAAAGCATTAATACCAAAGAGGAAATCTGACCCAGGTAAATCCACTGTGCAGACATTATTTGAACTCTTAGCTATAAATGCCATTCCCTCTCTTAAAGGTTTAGTAACCTGCCAGAGTGACATAACAAGTCTCTATTCAACTGCAAGCTCCACCACCCTGCAATGCTACAACACTTCCAGCACTGCAGGTGAGTGCACTGAAGGGAGTGGTTAAATGTTGAAATACAGGTTTGTTGGAATCCCACTACCTGAGTGAATGCTCATCCTGCAAGCAAATGCAAGAGATTTGCTCTGGTATTTCTAAGGAAGTTTCAGCACAATGAGAATTAATTCTCTGATCTCAACATACTGTGGCTGAAGACAAGTTTCTATGAGCTAAAAAGGAAACACAGGCATATTTTATCCAAACTTTATTAGCTTTGTTTGGTGAAGAATTCATCTCTTCCTGGGGGAGATTTTCAATCAGGTTCCAAACCTTCAATCATTACATTTCTTTCTGGTCTTGGAGAGTCTTTTTTGTTGTACACATCTGCTTGTTAAATCTTCTGATAACACAATCACATCCTCCCTTGGAGAGCAGCAAAGACCTGGTTGGATTTAACAGCATTTTCCACTCAAATTGCAACTTTCTGAAGGCTGTCAAGTTTCTCTTACATCTTAAATTTCACAAACCTAACATTTGAGCTTAACTCTCTAATTTTAATGTGTTTAGAAGCAAGAAAAATTCTATATTGAGAGTGGAGCACAATGTTTCTTGTTACTGCATTTTCATACCTTGAATTTATTCCTAAACTGAAGATAAGTGGAGAGGTCAAATTTTCTTGCTTCTTCAGTTCAAACCCTCAACGAGCTCAAGTTTAAAAATCAAGTCACAGAATGGATACAACCAAACCAAACCAGCAAAGAAAGAAAGTGCTCTCAGCACTCACAGAAGAGCCGCTGTTTCTACTTTTAAACATCATATCACCAGACTCAAGTTATTTGGGCTTGTCCAGTGTCCTTAAACAATTTCACTGCCTTAACTTTCAGAAAATGACAGTACCCAAAATATAACTCTTCTAGCCTTAGATGATTTGCAGATTATGGAAAAACTAAAATATCAATAATCTGATTATTTCATATAGGATTCTATAAAAACACAGATTTAATTTTCCTTAGTGTGGTACTGAATGAACACGACACACCTGCTGTGTGGTCCAAATCACCTTAGAGTTTCAATGGGAATTCTCATGAGGATTTGCAATTCCTTTTCACATTCTACACTCTGCTTTTAAAAAAAAAAGGCCTTTTCAAGTCCCACTTACTAGAATCTTATTTTGATTAGTTACCAGTTGCTTGGCACATTATTTCAGTAATATGAAGTGAAGGAATTGTATGCAGATTACTTAGCCCTTTGTTACAGATGGAAAACCTACATATGAATGAACAACTCCTTTCTAATTGTAATTAAGGGATGTCACAATTCCACAGGAAGGTCTTAGGCAGTACAATTTTGGAAAATTGCTTGTCAGTAAAACCAAGCAAATGTACAAAAAGCAGCCAGACACCCACCTTGCTGCAGTTAGCACATACCTTATTAGACTGTAAGAAAAATCTCTTCAAAACTTTGCAGTTGAGAGCAAAACCATTCACCTTCACCTGATTTATTTCCATAATTCACCCTTCCTATGCAACCAGCCCATAGAGCCATCCTAAATCACTGTGACCTACTGGAAGCTCAGGCTGTTATAGTTCACTACCCCAAACAGTAGAATTCATTAACATCAAATGTCCAAGAAAGTCACAAAGGTAAAAAGAAATCATAAATCAAAGATCCCTAAGTTTTGGAGTGTTCTATGCAGCCACTGCGGCTCGAAGCACTGTCAAGTACTTCCTTCAGGCTTGAAGGTTATTTCTAGTTCAACCACCCACCCCCAACATCAGATCACTTCCCTCGTTTCTATTCTAATGTAGGCCAGGGCCAGCTCCACTGGCAGCTCCTCCCTCCACAGAGATTCCATTGCAGGCAGTTCACTCCTTCACTTACTCACCCCACAGCTCTCCCAGAGCAAACACCCCTGTGGAAGGAACTGCTCCTCAGCTCTGAGGGATGGCAGGCAGTATATAACTCCTAGGCAGTGGCTGACCACAGAAGCTCACACTGAAATTCACTTGCTCCATAGGCCTGGCTCAGTTTATTCCCACTAAAATAGCTAACTGGGGAAAAAAAATGCCCTTAATCACCGAAATATTATAGCACTGTTTGAAATGGCAGCACATCAGTAGTGATTTGTAAAGATTTTCATCTATGGTGCTGTATAAATCCTTTGTTTTTCAGGGCTCAGTGCTGATACCTCAAAAGTCCAAACTATGCTACTTTGAGCAGGAACACACTGAACGAAGAATTTATCAGATTATATGCCACAAGTTATTAAAATTAAGTATATTTATTGCATCTATTCCATAATTAGATTGAAGGGATGGGTTTCCAAGCAGCCTTTGGAAATTTTTATTGACACCCACAGCTGCATATTCATGATTTTAATCCTATCCCAAGCAAGTTTCAGAAAATAGCTTTCCTTTTCTTGAATTGCAGTTCATCTTATCTCAAATAGCAGCATCTTTGTATTTTCATCATGCTCCTGATTTTATTAAAAGATGTAGAAAAATACCTTCAGAGCAACAGGGATGATTAAACTATTTACACATCTCACACAGACAAATGACTGTGATGCATTACTTCAGGTTTGATCAGCTCTAAGCATCAATTAGGAAGAAACTGATCTCCCAACAATTACTGTGAAAAATGGCGAGGGCAAGTGCCTTGGCTCTGTCACAGAGCTTTTAGTGGGTGACTGGTTGGGTTTTTCAGATTTCGGTCATGGCTGAAAACTCAGTGGTACAAGTAACCAACACAATTATTTTGCACGGTGTGTGTGTGGAAGAAGCCTACACTGGGTGGCAATTAAAACAGAAAGACAGGAGAGGTCACTATGCTTATACCTGTTAATCCAAATTTAGAAATGAAGCTACATGAGAAGCAGCACACACATTCAGAAATCATATAGCAATTACAGCAACTCAGAGCAATAATTTTGATAATAATAAGCAGATATAGTCAGTTTACTCCTGACTCTCTAACACCAATAGGCAAATCACTTCCCTTCTCTGCACCTCAGTTCTCCAACTGCCATGTGAACAGTGTGATAGTAGTCCTCAATTATTTTGCCATTTTAAAAATCTTGAATATAATGATTTGAATACAATGAATACAATTGATTTGCAATGGCAAATCAACTCAAGACCATACTGGAAAGCAATGGAAACCCCCCCCCCCAAAACACTAAAAACCTCCAAACAAAAAACCCCAATTTTCATTAGTTCAACATAGCAGGTAGAGAACCAGATTAGAGCAAAGCACATTACATGCCATGACAGAAACAACAAGCCAAAATAAAAAACTTTAAGGAATTACAGAAGTATCAGATTGCACTGTGCTGCCTGAGCACAACATAAATTAGAGAGGGAGGGGGAAAAGCCACACCAGTAAGCAAAGGCATGAAGGAATCTAAGGGGCAGAATAAAGATCTCAATGAATGAAGCCAGAACATGTGCAAGGATGCTGCAAGAGGCGTAACACATTCCATTATTCCACACAAGTGGAAAAATAAACAAGAGGATGTGCCAGAAGTTCTGTGATACAAATTGCAGCTTTGCATAAGAAACTTCCCCACACTGCAGGAGGACAATTGAGGGAGCACATTGGAAACAAGATAACAGAGAGATCAAAGGGCCATTAACTGTGACACACTGAAACGACAGAGTGCTCACATACCAGGAACAGGCCAACAACTGCATTGTGCCAAGGAGATGGAAGTTAAAGGGACAGATAACCTGACAGTGAGGATGGATGCAGTGGGAGTTCCTCACGAGTTAAACGCGGCACAGAGCAACCGATAGTTGCTTTATATATATGTAAAAAGAAAGGAGTAGGGACTGTAATCTGGTAAAAGACTAATAACATTTGGGCCAGGGAAAATTTGTCAGTGATTCAGGCACTTTCCTTCCAAGTTTTTGTTGACATGCTAAATCATTACAGCTCTGTGTGTGCTACGTAATGAGCTGTGCACTGTCAGAACAGCCTGATGAGTCGCTGGGACAAAACCACATTCTGCAGCACTAGAGCACACACTGTTCTGATAGCTAAGTGTCTTCTGAAGGTATGGCATGGTACACACAGCATGGACCTCACACTGCTCAGAGCACCTTAAAGAGAGCCCTTGGAGGAAAATGTGCCTGTGAGGGAAAGCTGAGGCAGCTGCACACAGTAAAACAAAACCTGAAATGCTGAATTTAAGCACTGATGATAAATGTAGAAAATCCATCTATTTGTGCCATACTATTTTTGAGGTTATTTTTCCTTTTATTGTGAAAGATAGAGCTTCTTACCAACCCATTTCCCACCTAAAAAAGTCTTGTAGAAGAAAAACCTGTGAAATGAATCCACACATAGGAGAATGCAAACCATTTACATTATGAAAGTTTTTGATTATAAAATCTTACCTCATCACAATCTCCTTCAACCATAGCATAAATAGCTTTCTTAACCAAGTTTGTACCTGAAATACAGATTTCAGTGTCAGAGTTGCAATGCAAAAGATGCTGGTTTATATATGACTAATGTGTGCTACCTACATGACATGACAGGGAGGAGAGAAAGGCACAAACAAGGACTTGCACTCAAGCTGAAGTCTCGAGTCTGAACATTAAAATAATCTGTGAAGTTAGCCAGAGACTCAGCTTAAGTGCAAGATTCTTCCACCACAAGGATATTAGAAACAGGCTGCTATGCTTAACACAGTGTTATATATAGCCTTCCAAGATATGATTCATTCCTTTTTGTTGCATTTAAAGTCAAAATCTGCTGGCATGTACTTGAAGGACATTCATCTTCCAAGGGAATTTCCCCTTACTAAAACAAATACTTCTATTAGTAACAGAACTTATGAAACCACTTTTCTCGTGGCTTACTCCCATTTCGATTTGCTGGTAGCTAATAATATGGTTGAAGCCCATCCCTTCCCCTCAGTCAAGCATTAATTTCATTTTTCTGATTTATTTTCCATCTATTTCACAACAGTTCTACAAATGTAATATCCCTACCTGTCTGCAGAATTGGGGTGAAATTGAAAGTTGATTTCAAAGTTATTAGTGGGGGAAAAAAACTCCTGTTCAATGAAATTGCATAAATCTCACTTCCATATGAAGGTTAAGGAAAAGGAGAAAAACCCCAAGGAATCTAGAGAATGTTTGAAAGTATTCTCAAAACATTCATCAGTTAGGATTTTCACTGCATGTATGATGAAACTGAACTACAATTAAAACAGGTCTTCAGGTTAGCAGCACAGTCTGAGAAACAGCAAGGTGGCAAATGTAAAAAAAAAAAAAGTCAACTAATGCTAAAGTAAGCAAAGCTTTAAAGACAAATTCTATTTATATAATTCTGAAATAGTGCACTGACTAAAGCAAGGGGAAAATCTTGCAGAGATCTTCATAACAACAGCATTAGCTCTTATTTGCTTAGGAATCCAAGCACCTGTAATTAAATTATGGCTCCTTCATGACTCAGCTAAAAGGAAAGGAGAGACAGGGATTTCTCAGTATCCAAGCAAAGCTTTAAAGACAAATTCTATTTATATAATTCTGAAATAGTGCACTGACTAAAGCAAGGGGAAAATCTTGCAGAGATCTTCATAACAACAGCATTAGCTCTTATTTGCTTAGGAATCCAAGCACCTGTAATTAAATTATGGCTCCTTCATGACTCAGCTAAAAGGAAAGGAGAGACAGGGATTTCTCAGTATCCTCTTCCCTCTGCTCCACTGGAAACACCAACAATGGCTTTTGAATTGCACTGGAGAAAGAAAATCTGCATATGCTTGAATAGCCATGGTAATATGTATCCTGCAAGGTTTTCTGGAGGTATTTTTGGAGAGCAAACACAGTGGTACATTCTGCCATGTATCACTGTTTTTCAGTTGCAGGTTGCTGTCTTTAATCACAAAAGTATGAGCTGTTCAGTGTGAATGAGTGGTGCAGCACTAAGCTTCAGAGCAGACATCTACATCTGAAGTTAAACATACGTTACAAAATGTAATTTTGCAAGAACCAGCACCAAAAAAATTTAAGTTCCATAAGAACAGATCTTTAATTAAGCCAACTAGGATAACTGGTGTTAGAATGAAAATCCCTTCATCAGGGCAAAACTGATTAACTAGGGAGAGCAAACTCCCTGCCAAGAGTGATTTCTTTACCAAGTAACTTCCCAACGAAACACATCTCCAGTTCAATCAGTCCAGCAGCAATACACAACTGTTTTTCTTCACTTATTATTACAATAATGAGCTACACACATTCTCCCCAACGGGCAATAGATGCATAATTTATAGGGGGAAGCCAGGGAATAAGTTCACTGAAAAAAAAATAAGAGACTGAAAACACGGAAACACAGTGATGAGGACACAGATAAGACACAAAGCAATTTCCACTGTGTTACTTGCCAGTGGTAATAGGCAGAGGTAAGGGGCTGCTGAATGCCTTTCTTTTCTGCTTTACTGTAGCCCAGATGTGAACCTCATAGGGCATTCCAGGTTATTTTAACAAAACCAGAAGCCACTGGGGAGCTGTGGATGAATGAGGGAAGGATGACAGAAAACCACCACAGCTACGAGCTCAGTTCAGCTTAAAACTTTATGACAGCTGCAGTTATCCCAGCTAGGTTTAAGGAAGAAAGAACAAAAAAAAAAAAGGCTATTCTTACCAATTCCTTTTCTTCTGTATTTGGAATCCACTGCTAACATGGCTATATAACCTCTGCGGAACATCTTTTTGTGCATATCCAGCTTGCAGACGATGGCACCTACACACTCCTCACCTACCATGGCCTTAAAGACAAACATACACGTAGGCATTCTCAGTTTGGGATCTACAGTGCTGCCAAAAAGTAGCAAACCAGTTCATTTTGCATTGAACCAGCCACAAAAAGAAATTTGTTTGCATCAAGGTATAAAAAGATAATTAAATAGATTTAAAAAGCACCTCAGAAAGTATTAACATGAGTAAGAGTCTTCTTTATTACATTCCAATGAGGTTCCAAGTCAATTAACAACCAATGAATTGTCCTGGAGAGAACCACATTGCTATTTCACAAAGTCAACAGGCAAGAACACGTGTGATTGAAAAGCAGAAGTAATATAAAATAAGAGACCAGGTTAAGGCATAAATTATCCTTTCACGTAGGATTCTGCAGAGGAAAAAAGTCCATTCGTGTTTTATAGTGACCTGAATTTCCCTGTGCAAGGGCTGTGGTAGATAACATGCTTAATTTTTGTCTGGTTTTAACGTCAAGGCCACGAAGGATCGGAGAAAAAGAGTTGCTGCATTTAAGCTTTAGAAACTATGGGTTTCAGTCATATGACACCCAGAGAACAAACAAAAAAAAAAAAGCACAGTTAATTTCACACATTTTAACTATTCAGAGATTTCATTTGTTAAGAGCTGTGCACTGGCAGTTAATCCCAATGGCATTGTCACAGAGGGCTGGTCAAGGAGATGGGAGTTTTTCTAAAATATTAAAGAAAAAAAAATCCCCCAAAGAAAAGAACTCAACTCCTCCCCACTTATCAAACCACTTGCACAGCCACTGTGTACACCAAAATTTTACCATGAAATAGATTAGAGAAAGGAAAACGAAGTCATCTGTTAACTGAAGGATTAGGCAGCATAAGGGATTAATGACATTATAACCTGCAGCAGTAAAACTGAGTAATGCTGCAGAGTAGGACAGCATCCAAGGGGAGAATGAATTACTGTGCACTCGGGAAAGATTGGCAGAGACAAAAAGAAACTCATAATTGCATGTATGGGTGTAGAAGTGGATGCACAGACTCTGACAGACCTGTGTCTGCAGGGGGGAAGTAGCTTCGGGCTCAAGTGCAGCAGCTAAACCAGGACTACAGCACATGATTGGCACAAGCATCTGCTGGCACAAGTGCTCCTGGATAATCCAAATTTACAACTCGAAGACATGTCCAATGAAAAGGACTTGCTAGAGACTGCAGGTCCAGTGCAGCCCACCTGTGACCCAGACCTCACTTCTCCAAAGTCTGTGATGTAAACTCTCCGGTCTCCAACCACCTGAACCTTTGCACACAGCTCGTAGGCCAAGACTCCACAGAGAGAAGATTCCTTCATGCAGGTCCCACTGCAGGCACAGCCACAGTCTCTTCACCCCCATCATCTCCCCCTGGATGGTGGGTTATTAACCAAGTTAGCTGTCAAGCAGGAGCTGTACCCAATGTGAAATGAAGCAGCCCAAAATGTATGAGCTGCAGTTCCAAAGCTCTGTGACACAGAGTGATCCTAACTCTACTTCTAATACAGTTTAAGCTCTAATATAGTTCAAGCAAATATAACTATTGCTAAGTTTTTATTTGGCAGGAAGGCACATTTTTAGCAGTATCCAAGAACAACCCTGAACAATCTAACAAGCAGTTTATAAAACAACAAACACTGTAGCATGATCTAACTGGACTGAAATACACAGACTCTAAGCAGCCTTTAATTTGTTCCAAAACACAGTTTATTCCACAGAAAAGAGAAGTTGTACCAATACTAAAGCTGTGTCTACAAAGTTTCAGCTCAAGGCACGTTTTGTATCTGGGCTCAGACCTGAGAAGACTGGGGAGTTAAATAAAGAGTATCATCAGACAGACTGCTCACAACATTGCTATAATTATGCAGAGCACCTAGATGTAATCTTATACCTCCCTAAAAAAAAAAAGCACACCACAAACTAGCATGTTATAGTTCTGCTTTGCCCTGGAGTGAACACGTGCAAACTGTTGATCCTAACAGTTATGTGGAGAATTTTTAGGAGAGATATATATAATTTTTTACACTCTTCCAGAGCAGTGATAATCTAGACACTGCACATCTGTGTTCCTTCTTGGTTAGGGCACTTGTCTGAAAAGTTCTATTCATGAATCATATATTTAAAATGCTAAATGAACAGCAAAGAATTTTGTGCCAGTGATCAAAGAAGGAAATACCCACAGGTTTTACCACTGCTGCCAGAGAGTTGAATAAAGTATGACTTTGTTGCCAGTTCCCCAAACACTTAAATCTATTTCTCTGTCTTTAGGCAGGTAAGTCTGGCAGTTAATCTATGGCTGTGCCACTTACACAGGGAGTGCTGCATTTCCACCTCAATTTGAGGGTTTTTTGTTGCCTTTCCTCTCCTTTCTTTTTCTCTCCAACCTCATCTAAAGCTGGAAATGAACCCAAAATGTGATGTGAAAGTCTATAATTTAATTTCCTGGAGAAGGTTAAGCGGTGCAAATAAAAAGCCCCAGCCTGAAAAAAGGAAAGAGAAAAAGTAGGTCCCACACAACACCATTTCTGACAAGATAATCATGGGCCAAATTTTCTTTTCAGGTGTATGAGAGCACTTCTAAACACCACAAGTCTTTAGAACTACATGTTCCTACAACCAGAATTCAGCCCAAGTCACTATTATATATTATAAACCCCACAGAGTACTTGAAGATTTACTTCAATCCCAAGTTATTAGTAGGAGGATTAACACACATGAATCCAAATCCAATATTTGCATCAACTTTGTTCTTTTGAATAAGTTGAACTGTTTAAAACAAAATAATTTTAACATACTGGAAGAGTTAGTACAAGAATGTCTGTAAATCAGCAAGAACACTACTTTTCACAACATTAATCAATTTGTTTTAATTTCATTAGCAAAGATGGCATTACGTCTGTCAGCCACAGTCTGAGTATGCATTTAATACCCAGATCCTGTGACATTTGTTCCCAGTTAAAGAAGATTAAAACAACCAACTAGCCCCAAAAGGGGAATATTTTGTGATTCAAATGCAGCAGAACCTGCACTACTGCACTGCATTTTCCTTTCACACCTGCACCAAAATCCATCCCAAAGTATCACAGACACAGCTCTGTATGAATTGGCTTACATTTAGGGCTCATGTTACTGAATACCATTAGAGGATACATTTAGGCTAATGGTTTTAACCTGACGTCTGGCAGTTCACCCAGAGCTCTGTGCAAAATACCAGGCAAATCACTCTATTGCTCTGTTTCCACTCCACAAAACTGGACATGAGGAATTTCCCCCTATGCAAGGGAACTACTGGAATAACTACACTGCTGCTGTTACTCCCTCAGGTGCTGCAGTGACTGAAGTTTTCACAAAGCCACTGACAGTGAGAGTATGTACCCAAACCCATGATCACTCCCAAAAGCAAACTGGAATACAGACAGTTTGCAAATTGTTAATGGATTCTAGAAAGCTTCTTCCCACGTGTGCCATGAGGCTAGGCAGACCTCTCAGACAGTCTCCTAACTATTCTGGTTCTTCCTTTATGCCCCAGGTTTTCCACAACTGAAAAACAGGGATGAAGTACACTGAGACTCCTGAATAAAATCCAATTTAAGAAAAAAATGCAAAGCATTAGTATAAAACAAGATCTCAACTGCAGTCATTTAGGATTTACAACACATCTAAAACCACTTACATGGAATTAATAGGTTATTTTTAAACTTGTGAAAGTTTAAATTATAAATGCTGCAATAGCTAGTGGCAAAGTTAAGAACCCAATAAAAGAACAGATTTTCCAGATTTTTTCTTAAAAGGCAGCTGAGTGGTGCAGTGAATTACAGGAGAGGTTACAACACTCAGCCAGAACTCTGCTTTTATTACATCCTGCCTTATCCAAACTTTGGCACAGAGCAAGGTTTCCTAAGCTCACCTCTCCCACGCTGAAGGATTTGGAAAACTATTTTCTGAAATATTTGATCTATCAGTTTGAAATGGAAGTTTTAGAACTTAAACACTGCTAAGACTAGAAGCTGCAAAAATAAACACTTCCAAAGGAAGCTGCAAATTTGGAAATGCATTCAGAATTCACATCAGGACAAAGCTGTAGTGATGCTTAAAAATACTTCACATGGAACAGAAGACACCTCTATCCTCTGTCACTTTTTGGCAGAGGAGTGGTTGTCATAGGCCATTTGAAGAGAAACTGGGCTGACAGAGCTTTTGAAATAAGTAACAAACAGGCATTTACCACACAGTGCAAACCTGCTCTTCCAAAGCCAGGTGAAATCCAAGTTAAAGCAGGCAGCTGGAGTTTATGGAGGAGAAGGTTAATACCTTGCAACAGCTCAGTCAGATCCTGCTGCAGTGTAACACCTCAGAACTGAGCAGCAAGTATTCCTGACTTGCTGCCCCTAAGGTCAGGAAAACAGTTACATGGATGAATTTGATATTAAACTTAACAGGGGTTAAGATTCCTTGTATCTCCAGGTTCTTTTAAAGTGGAATATTAACTTCTTGGAGTGTACAGTTAGCAAATAGTTTGATACACCAAAACATACCAGTGACCAGTTAGGGTTGGTCCTATGCCTCCCCTGCAGCTGAGCATCCTCAGCTCTTCTTCTGCACCTGTGACATCCTACAGGAATATATTTGGAGCTCTAAACCCTAAAACATATACATACACAGACTCTTCTAAATATATGTTGGTGGGAGGGCTACCTTGGCTTCCCAAATCAGGGAACCACAAGGGCTGGCACAAGCTAGGAAAAGGGAGTTGAACCAGACAGGAAAAGCAGCATCTTGTGTTGCACCAGCATTAGAGCAACAGTGCAAACTGGGTAGGCCAAGCCAAAACTCAGAAAGTTTCAAACCCATGGAAGATAATCATCAGGAATAGTTAATAATTCCTCCAGAAATAGCTCTGCATTGTCAGGACAGGAAAATGATGGTGTTTTAGATGGTTCGGTGAATAAAACATCAGCAAGGGACAAACGCTGATTATTTACAGAAAAGACACATCACATCTTCAATTTCAATGGTGCTAGAGCTTTCCCCTTGCAGGGAGGGAAGGGAAAGGTGTCCATGGCAGTACTTTCACCTCACTGGTAGGCAAAGGAAAGGTGCCCATGACAGTACTTTCCCCTCACAGGTGCCCATGGCAGTGCAACGAGGACAGGTGAGTATGTACTGGAAGATTTAAAAAATGACAGTGAAATTCAGTGATGGAACTGACAGAACCCTTACAGACACTTTTTCAAAACCAATCAAACTGCAGGCTAACCTCTTCTCCCAAAACAATCAAAACCCAACCAAAACCTGAGACCAGAAGGGCACAAGGCATTAAAGACAAATGATTCTGTGAGATCAGGCACTAAGCTTCTGTCCACCATCCTGATGCTCTTCTTGCTAATTGGAATATGCAGTCCCTGAGTGAAGATAAATATTTTAAAGTGACTTATTAGACAGAAGTAGTTCAGGAATCCATTAACAGAAGGAACAAATTAAATTTTATAGAATAGAATTCTCCAAGACAACCTCTAAAAAACAAACCTTAAATATATTAAAACCAGTCACAGAAAAACCTCCAAACCCATAAAATTGGACTGCAAGACTTTCCAATTATTAAGCAGATAACAATTTGTGGGCTTTAGACATTTACAGTCATTTATTCTTAATCTACAGTTTTATGTACTTTACATTCTTCCACCTTTCAAAAAAATGGTAAATACACTGAGTTCAAGGAAAGTTTTGTTGATTCTTCAAGGCTATGAAAAAATGAAGCTGTCACCACAAAATAAGCTTGAGACACTTTCTCCTTCCTTGAGTGATATCTTATTCTTTCAATGCACTTATTAGAAATCATCTGTTTTAGAGCTCTGTCAAACAAGTTGTCATTGCTCTTTTCAAAACAAAAATCTCAGGTTATTCCCGACCAAAAACTATAATGATTTAAAGCCTAAACAAGTGCATTGTGATGTAAAAGTATCCAACACTGCCTTGGCATTCCCAGTGATACACCTGATGCTGGCAGTATGGATTTGTGTAGTTCACAAGCATTTGTTTTCAGTATGAGGTAAATCAGTCACACGCAGAGCTCAGTGCTGGAAGAACACCACTGTGCTCTGATCAGCATCCTTGTAATGGCAAACATGACTTTGCACTGAACAATGCTTTCCTGTATTGTCATATTCTGTTTTCTTCCAGAGGGTAATGCTTTACTCAACTTCCTATAATCCTACTGTATTCCCCCTGCAGGTTTTGAAGAGGCACAGTTCTGAAAGTCCTCCTATAAATAATCATAGAAATCCTGCTATAAATTATACCAGATCCTAAACCAAGAACATTCAGGAAGTTCAAGGCCAGATGGACTCCATTAGCCTCACCTCCTGTACTCATATCCCACTAAAATTTCACAGGGATACTCCTGAACTGAAGGGTGTCTAGGCTCTGGCTAAATCACACCTTTCAGAGAGAGGCATCCAGCCTTGATTAAAACATCAGGAGAGAAGAATTCATCATTTACCTTAGCAAAGAAGTGTTCCTGTGAGTAAATCAAACACAGCTAAGCTCCTGCTATGCACGTACACTCCTCAGGCCAACTAACACTCGGTTTCATAGACCTGTGGATGGATTATCATCCTAAAAACATGCAGCTGAGACACAACAAGTGCTAGACACTTAGGAAGAGAGGGGGGCAGCTAAACCAGTCTTTCAATAGTGCTGTAGGAAGGATATAAAACTCACTACATGGATGGTACAGGGAGACAACCTAAGCAGCACAAGAATCTCTGCAGGCCATGTGCACTATCACACCTGTAAGAAGCAACACAGTTGGACTTGTCTGTGTCAAAGTAATCTCACAGATCAAAAAGTCTAGTAAACCTTTCGCAGCAGCTCTCCACCTATCACTTAACATTCACGTGCCAGCCCTGATTCAGTCAGTTTGAAAACCATTGTGCAAGAATTACTAAGCAGTTATAAGGCATTAGTGGACTAAGTACTTTCTGTTTTAAATCCAAACCCAGGAACTGGGACAGAATAATAAAATGAACTACCAAAGGTCATAAAAGTCAATGTCAAAAGCAAGATTAGAAGCCTTGAATTCCTGGATCCTAGCCCTGTGCTCAAACCTTTTCCCCACCACCTAAACAATGTAGGAACTCTGGGCATATGCTTTACTTGTACATGCACAGGTCACAGGGGGACAGGTACTTCCAGAAAGGTTTGGCCTCATCCATAAAAAGCCTATTGGAAGTATTTCCACAAATGTCAACCCTTCCATCCCCTCCTCCCCAGCCCCAAACCACTCCCAATCCCTGCCCTCCCCTCCCCGTCCAGCACTTACCAAAAAGCAAAGTTGTGGCCAGTTGTGGATAAAATACCTATATGTGTAAATGGAGTAGGGTTCAGACAGATCTTTGGTGATCAGTCTCATGATATCGGGCATCTGCAGCTCTGACTCATACTGGACATATCGTATCGTTAGGTCCTCCTCGGGCTGACAGTCCGTTCCCGAGCCTTCCAAACTGCAAGCAGCTGCTAAGGACCCGGAGAGGAGCTGCAGGGACTCCTCCTCCTCCTCCCCTCCTTCATCCCCCTCCTCCTGCTCTTCCTCCTCCAAGCCAGTCTCTCCTGCCAGCCCATTGCGGGCCGCAGTCTTAGCAGCAGCAAGCAGGCTGGCTCCTGTCCCCTTTTGCTGCTGCTGCTGCTGGGGGAGAAGGAGGAGGAGAGGGTGCAGTCCTTCCCTGGGGAGGGAGGTGGTTGGTGTGGGGGGCCGAGCAGGGCGCTGCGCTTGGGGGCGACGACTGCTGCTGTCCGGAGCCCATTGTTTTGCTGGCTCGCTTGTTCTCCAGCCCT